TTAGATAGTGAGTTCGAACCTTCTGAAGCCTCCTCAAGTGAACCCAAACATTACAGATTTACTAAAACACGAAAATAGTTTTAGACAGATATAAAACTTTATTTATCACTACTACTTCTATATTGAGGATAAAAATACCTTTATTTATATAATTAATTCACATTTATAAGCAAAAATTATATATTTGTAGTGAATATATACAAATAAAAACATTAAACCCAATATGTACGGGTATTTAAGTGGTATTATTTCTCTATTTATTAACCAAAAGTATAAATATTTACTATATAAATTTATAATATAGGAATAAGTAAGAGAATTATACCTAAATGTATATATAACGTTAATTGTAGTATTATTTATTGTTTAGTTGATTTAATTTATTTTCGCATTCCAGAAGCATTTAATATTTGTCTGCGGGGGTAAAATATTTTTATTCTAACTTCATCTAAATTTCGTACAACTTCATAAATACCAAGTTTAATTATTTTTTAATATTCATATTGATAAATTGATCATTATAGTTTATTTTTGAACTAGAAATATGTAAAGAAACTTGTGAAATATTAAATAATAAATTAATAATAAAAATTAAATGTGACGGCACCTCTTTTAAGGTCGCTTAGAGTAACAATACTGAAAATAGAATACAGACAAAAATAAAATAAACAATAAAATATCCTCTAAAAACTTACAATAAATGATAAAATACAAATAATATCACATAATTGACCTCTTTATCCCACTACTTGTATTTTAATTTAGATATTATTGAATATTTCCGACACTAATATATATATTTTTAGGAATGAATAAAAATTTTGAATATCTCACAACAAAACCACGAAACGAAACAGCTGATCTTATATTTAAATGGACAAAATCACCTTATTTATGATTGGAAAATGACTAATTCATGTAGTTTTGTTTATGATAATACCACTAACTTAATTTAAATAGATTAATTAAGCGGTGTTGATAATAATTGATAGTAAATAAAGACAAAAATACGACAAAAAAACCATGCCAGTACTCCAAGATTCTTCAGCTTCGGACACACCATTATCAAAACAGCATTACCAACTGTTCCGATTTAGTAAACAAACATGGCTGCCAACATGACATAAACACTCCATTATATCACAAAAAAATATTAAAATATTACATAAAAATCCATCTAAAAATAATAAAATATAATTACAATCACTAAAATAATTAATTATAAAATCATAGATAAGATAATAGACGAATAATTGCCTGAACTAATATACGCTAATTACCTGACTCATTGTTACACTGAAAGATAGATTATATTTTAAGTGTGTTTATTTGTCGTAGTTACTTACATCGAGAAAGTGAGAGAAAGAATGAGAAAAAGAGAAGAATAGAGACAAAATGAGAGAAAGAGGTTTTGTCAAGTTACATAAAGTGAGAGAATGATGAGTGTGTGGGGGGAAAGTTGCCGGTACATTTCATCTGTTTATGGCAAAGAGTGGCAGGTCCCCAGTGCCAGGCCTGTGACTAGGAGGAGGGATATCTGGTCAGGGAGGGAAGAGGTGTTGGTAACGGCTGGGGACCTGTAGGAGGAGGTCATAGGGCAAGTGAGGATGTAGTGAGAGAGGGTGTGAGAGTCGGGTTGGCCACAAACAGTGCGGTGAGGCTCAGGGTTGCCAATGTACTCCCATAGGTACCTGTACCCTAGGCCCAGTCTCATGTATATAAGCTGTTGAGATCGACTCAGGGATTGATATTCTTTGTAGTGGCGGTTGTCGTCACCGGTTACAGCGTCATAGTGGCATAGTGTGACGCTACCCCGTTGTTTCAGGTGTGTCCAATTTTCGTCGAATGCTTCTCGTTGTGTGGCGTGTATGCGAGATTTGAGATGATTCAGGGAGAGGGCGAGAGTGGCTTCAGTATCTTCTTCTTGTGTAGCTTCTTTGGCAAGCCGATCAACAGTGTCACAGGCAGTTATTCCTATATGTGACGGGATCCAAAGAAACTTGACACGGATGTCATCAGTTTGTTCTAGCCCGGCAAGGGTGTGTTGGGCGGCAGGGGAGGAGGGGGAGGGTAATTTGAGCCTCGCCAGGGCAGAAGTGCTGTCACTGATTATAAGGAGGTTCCGGCGTTCAGTGCGAGCATTAGGTCGCCCCCTCATGAATGCCCGCGAGGATGGCTATGCTTTCAGCATCAGTGGAGGAGGCCCAGTCGTGGACCCTGATTTTCCTGCAGGCCTGGCGCTCAGGAATCCACACAGCTGCCCCAGCGCTGCCCAGCGTGGTAACAGACCCATCACAGTAGACGAGGATAGGAGGGAGGGAGGTCTTTAGAGAGGAGGCGACATCATTAATCTGCTCAAGGCAGTTAAGTTTGAGCATATACCTCAGTTGGGTGGATTTACGACCAGGGAAGGTGTGGACGACAACATCAACACACGGGGAGGTCCACGGCGGTAGAGGCGGATGAGTGTACTCGGGAGGGAGAGAGGTCGAGGGGGTGTAGAGGTGATAACACAGGATGTCAGCAGCAGTGTGGACGGGCCAGAGTTGAGAGGGAGGGAGAGGTAATGGGGGCAGGCCGGCGCAGGAGGGTGTTAAGATGTGAGTTCAGTGAGCGCGACAGGGGAGTCGGTTGCTCACTGCGAAGAAGTTTAACACCAAGGATGGCATTGAGAGCAGTAATTCGATCGCAGACGGGAAGCAGGATTAGTTCCCGCTGCATGACTTCTATTCTGGTGGTCATAGGGCAGCCGAGGATGAGTCTCATCGCTCTGTTTTGGATTTTTTCTTTGCTTTGTTTCTCGCGCTGGGAGGCAACTACAAGGACAGGAGAGGCATAATCTATGACAGCTCTGACGATGGCAATGTACATGAGACGTAGGACCCTGACAGAGGCTCCTTTGAGGCCGTGAGTGAGGGACTGGAGGGGCCTCGTTCGTTGGCGGCACTGGGAGATGACGTGGGCGGCGACAGCGGAGGTCGTGGCTCTGGTAGTGGCTCGCACAGGTAGACCAAGGTACCTGTAGGTGCGTACTTGATCGATGTCTTGTCCTTGCAGAATCAGTGGTGTCTGACGCCGGAAGCGTGAGATGAACTTGGTTTTAGTGTGTGAGATGACTAGCCCGAGTGTTTGACAGGTCCGGGCGAACGTGGAGAGTATAGGTTGTTCATGTTGCACTGTAGTAATTTGGAGGAGGATATCATCAGCGTAGCTTATGATGTGACCGTCTAGGGCTCGCTCAGCAAAGATGACGTTGAGACGGCAGATGGCGTTCATGAGAACATTGAAGAGTGTAAGGGCTGAGTACACCTCCCTGAGGCGTGCCAAGATCAAGGTCCCTGATCATAGAGTAGTGGCCCTGAAGACGGACACGGGCCTGTCGATGGGAGAGGTAGTCAGCAATCCACGTGAGGAGTTTGCCCTTCACATCCATGTGAACGAGGCCCTCAAGGATCACTTCACTGTTGGCTTTATCAAAAGCACCCTTGAAGTCGACGAAGAGGGAGGTTTTGGCGGAGGTGTTTGCCATGTAGTGAGCGATGCAGTGAGCAGTGCTCTTTCCGGGGCGAAAACCATAGAGGTCAGGGTGCAGGTGGGCTTCAATTTTCCAGTGGAGGCGGTGGAGTATGATGCGCTCCATCATCTTTGAGAAGCAGGAGATGAGGGATATTGGACGATATTCATCTTGTCTGCCTGGTTTAGGGACTGGGATGGTGGTGGCAGTCTTCCATGAGTGAGGCAGCTGATAGAATGACAGAAAGAAACAATGATAAAACTCGTGCGCTCACCAGGGCTCGAACCTGGGACCTTCTGTGTGTTAGACCCACTACACCATGAGCACTTAAATTAGGTCTCCAAGGTCTATAATTCTTAGAAAATGGTATAATTACTAATACTATTCTAACCTAACCTAACGTAATCCTAACCTAACCTAAACCAACCTTGGAAATATACAGAGAGAGAGAGAGAGAGAGAGAGAGAGAGAGAGGCAGCAACTGGGAAAACCTATGAAGCAAGACGTGTGTGTGTGTGTGTGTATGTGTGTGTGTGTGTGTGTTTTACCATCATACAGTAGTTGTGACAGAGGCAGTAAAGAGGTCGGATTGTGGTAGTAGTAGTGGTGGTAGTTGTGGTTGTAGGATGGAGGTGGTTGTAGTGGTGAAAATACTCTGTTTATTAAGTGTTTCATACACCGCATCTGCTGAGCATAGTAAGTATTTGTTGATATACATACATACATACATACGTACATACATAGACATACATACATACATATACGCACACAAACACCCATCTACCAACCCACAGAAACCTAACCTAACCTAACCTAACCAAACCAAACCTAACCAAACCAAACCAAACCAAACCAAACCTAACCTAACCTAACCTAACCTAACCAAACCAAACCAAACCAAACCTAACCAAACCTAACCTAACCTAACCAAAACTAACCTAACCAAACCTAACCAAACCTAACCAAACCTAACCTAACCAAACCTAACCAAACCAAACCAAACCTAACCAAACCTAACCTAACCAAACCTAACTCAATTTCTCACCAATTAAAACACTTCCAACAGACTGCTCCAAGTGGGTGACAACAGGAGTGGATGATACCTGGTCAGGACACCAATTTGAAGCGCCAGTACCTACTTACCTGTACTTTCGAGGGCAGGAAAGTGAGGCAGTAACTAATCTACATATATGGTATTATAAGAATCACTCAGAACATTTCCTCACCACTCAGAAGTTAATTTATAAGATCTCAGGTAATCAGGTCTTTCACATGGCTACAATCAGATCACAGGTGAGTTTGTTGTAAATAAGTTATGATTGATATAAAATTCTTTGGTGTTTAATTTATATGTGGATGTATGTATGTATGTATGTATGTATGTATGTATGTATGTACAGTATGTGTACCTCTCTCTCTCTCACCACAGAACCACCACAACACGACAAGAGCCCAGCTGTTTATCAATCCTCAACACCAATTACTCCTGGGTCAAGGGTCGTTACATAGTTTGATCGTAACAAGCAATTCGACTGTCTTATGGCGAGGCTGTTACCAACCGGATCTATATGGTAAGCGTTTGTTTGTGTCTCTCTCTTTCTTAATTACTCCACAAGTTTAATTACCACAACTAATGACTCCACCTTAACTACAGCCTACACCTACAATAAATTCTACTTCTATATTACAGGTACAAGCCCAGGTGCTACATGCACAGGTACAAGCCCAGGTACTACATGCACAGGTACAAGCCCAGGTACTACATGCACAGGTACAAGCCCAGGTACTACATGCACAGGTACAAGCCCAGGTACTACATGCACAGGTACAAGCCCAGGTACTACATGCACAGGTACAAGCCCAGGTACTACATGCACAGGTACAAGTTTATCATTAGCCAATATCACAGTCGAGTTGGCAATCTCATTTGTAATAATTGTCATTGTTTAGCCTGAATGATTTACTACAAGAAATACCTGTAGGTGAGTTGTTATTATTATTATTGTTATTATTATTATTATTATTATTGTTGTTGGTGAAAGTGACAAGAGAAAGTTGCTGATTTATGACGTCATCACTTAAGGGTACCAAGTGCTCATGGTGTAGTGGGTCTAACACACAGAAGGTCCCTGGTGAGCACAAGAGTTCTATTATTGTTTCTCTTGGATTCTTTATCTCTCTCTCTAACTATCTATCTATCTTTCTGTCTTTCTCTGTCTTCTCGCTCTCTATTTATATATCTATCTCAATATCTCTCTTTCTCTCGCTTTCTTTCATTCTTTATTTCTATCAGTTTCCGTGTGAAGGAATACAAGTATTTCCGTTTTCTTTGATCTACATAACTTGGTATTAAAGAAAATGTGTCTTCCTCTATTATAAATATATGCAGGAGTAACTAACCTATTCCTTTAAAATAATAATTATTAAATTTCCCCATTATTGATTACCATGAACACGTAATAATAATACTAAATTCCTCGGAAAATTTTGTTGATGAGAAACTTAACTGGAGAAACCACATACAAGCCATTCACAGTAAAATCAATGAACAGTGACGTATCATGTATCACAGTCGACAGTCACTCACTCTCACAGCAATGAAAGAAATCTATCAATAACTTGCTTGACAATAATTACTTCCAGTTCCGGAATAATCAGAGATACAACTTAAGGCCCCCAGAGCTACTAAGACCACCCCCCATGCGCTCCTCTCAGTCCCAGACCTCCATAAAACATCACGGTGTGAAGGTGTGGAACAACTTGCCCCCACCCACCCCAGCAAAGACTAGGCTCCCTTCCTTTAGATCATCTCTAACAAAATATCTATTGTCTAAGTATTAATATTTCTTGTAACACCTACTATATTTACAGTACCTGCTTTTATTGTACCACCAAATCCGTTTTATCGGAAATTATCATGTAAATAAATAAGTAATTACCATGGCAATAAACATAATTGCCAACTAGACATAATCCTGACAGCTCTGTCCTCATGTTCAACCATATTACTGTACGACCCAGGATGTACTGCTCCCCCATTATACTTAGGTTTTTAAATTCCACTCTAATATATATATATATATATATATATATATATATATATATATATATATATATATATATATATATATATATATATATATATATATATATATATATATATATATATATGTATGTATAAATATATATATGTATAACACTATGAGATGTTCTTATTACCACCATGCTATTGTACTATTCCAGATGATACTAAATGTTCCATAATACTTCCTTGAGATAAATGTATAGTATATATCAGGGGCCTTAAAGAGAGCTCAGGTTCTCAACTGACTCAGCCATGTTAATATTGTTATTATTATCCACTGTATCTGTGTTTGTCTGGCCAAATAAACTGTTACAAATCAAATCAAAATGACTGAGGAAGGAGGGCTACTTGGGGAAGGACTATTTTAGACTGGGGAGGACTATTAATGGTTGGGGAAGACTATCAAGGGTTGGGGAAGACTATCAACGGTTGGAGAAGACTATTAATGGTTGGGGAAGACTATCAAGGGTTGGAGAAGACTATTAATGGTTGGGGAAGACTATCAAGGGTTGGGGAAGACTATCAAGGGTTGGGGAAGACTATTAAGGGTTGGGGAAGACTATCAAGGGTTGGGGAAGACTATCAAGGGTTGGGGAAGACTATTAAGGGTTGGGGAAGACTATTAAGGGTTGGGGAAGACTATCAAGGGTTGGGGAAGACCTATTAAGGGTTGGGGAAGACTATCAAGGGTTGGGGAAGACTATTAATGGTTGGAGAAGACTATTAATGGTTGGGGAAGACTATCAAGGGTTGGGGAAGACTATTAATGGTTGGGGAAGACTATTAATGGTTGGAGAAGACTATCAAGGGTTGGAGAAGACTATTAATGGTTGGGGAAGACTATCAAGGGTTGGAGAAGACTATTAATGGTTGGAGAAGACTATTAATGGTTGGGGAAGACTATCAAGGGTTGGGGAAGACTATCAAGGGTTGGGGAAGACTATCAAGGGTTGGAGAAGACTATTAATGGTTGGGGAAGACTATCAAGGGTTGGAGAAGACTATTAATGGTTGGGGAAGACTGTCATGTCCTGTTGGCCTGAGACACACCTGAGAAGGGTGTTTGAGTACCTCTCACTATCATGTCTTGTTGGCCTGAGACACACCTGAGAAGTGTACCTCTCACTATCATGTCCTGTTGGCCTGAGACACACACACTGAGGAAAGGTGTTTAGAGTACCTCTCACTATCATGTCCTGTTGGTCTGAGACACACCTGAGAAGAATGTTTGAGTACCTCTCACTATCATGTCTGTTGGCCTGGGGCACCTGAAGATGTTTAGTACCTCTCACTATCATGTCTGTTGGCCTGAGACACACCTGAGAAGGTGTTTGAAGTACCTTTCACTATCATGTGTGTCCTGTTATTTCAGGCTTTTTCCCAAGGGTGTTTGAGGATTACCTCTCACCATCATGTCCTGTTGGCTGAGAACTTACACCTGAGAAAGTGTTTGGGCTCTCACTGCTCCATGTCACGGCGGCCCTGGGAACACACCTGAGAAGGGTGTTTGAGTACCTTTCACTATTATGTCCTGTTGGCCTGAGACACAGCTGAGAAGGGTGTTTGAGTACCTTTCACTATTATGTCCTGTTGGCCTGAGACACACCTGAGAAGGGTGTTTGAGTACCTCTCACTATCATGTCCTGTTGGCCTGAGACACACCTGAGAAGGGTGTTTGAGTACCTTTCACTATTATGTCCTGTTGGCCTGAGACACACCTGAGAAGGGTGTTTGAGTACCTCTCACTATCATGTCCTGTTGGCCTGAGACACACCTGAGAAGGGTGTTTGAGTACCTCTCACTATCATGTCTTGTTGGCCTGAGACACACCTGAGAAGGGTGTTTGAGTACCTCTCACTATCATGTCCTGTTGTACACATGTTCTACAATATTGGGGTTGTAATAAAGTATTCAGCAATAGTTTAAATACTTATATCTCATTCTGTAAGATATTTATGTTTGGGGAACATCATGGTCAAGTGTATACAGTTATACTGCCCTTTAATTGGTCACTTAATACTAGGGTTTACTTCTTAACTTAGGGTCGCTGCCACCAGACCGCAGGACAGTATGTGTAGTTGTTCTTTGGGGAGCTGGCAAAGAAGTCTAGCAGTGTGAGTTTAGTCTAGCAGTGAGAGTTTAGTCTAGCAGTGTGAGTTTAGTCTAGCAGTATGAGTTTAGTATAGCAGTGTGAGTTTAGTCTAGCAGTGAGAGTTTAGTCTAGCAGTGTGAGTTTAGTATAGCAGTGTGAGTTCAGTTTAGCAGTGTGAGTTCAGTTTAGCAGTGTGAGTATAGTCTAGCAGTTGAGTATAGTCTAGCAGTGTGAGTTTAGTCTAGCAGTGTGAGCTTGGTCTAGCAGTGTGAGTATAGTCTAGCAGTGTGAGTATAGTCTAGCAGTGTGAGTTCAGTTTAGCAGTGTGAGTATAGTCTAGCAGTGTGAGTTTAGTCTACCAGTATGAGTTTTAGTGATATAGCAGTGTGAGTTTGAAGTATAGCAGTGTGAGTTTAGTATAGCAGTCAGGTTTTGATCTAGCAGTATGAGTTTTAGTATAGCAGTGTGAGTTTAGTATAGCAGTGTGAGTTTAGTCTAGCAGTATGAGTTTAGTATAGCAGTGTAATTTAGTCTGAGGTGTGAGTTTAGTCTAGCAGTGAGTTTTAATAGTCTAGCAGTGTGAGTTTGATCTGCTTGGTATGAGTTTGATCTAGCAGTGTGAGTTTGAGTCTAGCAATGTGAGGTTGTTAGTCTGGCAGTATGAGTTTAGTATAGCAGTGTGAGTTTAGTATAGCAGTGTGAGTTTTAGTCTAGCAATGTGAGTTTAGTCTAGCAGTATGAGTTTAGTATAGCAGTGTGAGTTTAGTATAGCAGTGTGAGTTTAGTATAGCAGTGTGAGTTTAGTCTAGCAGTATGAGTTTAGTATAGCAGTGTGAGTTTAGTATAGCAGTGTGAGTTTAGTCTAGCAGTATGAGTTTAGTATAGCAGTGTGAGTTTAGTCTAGCAGTGTGAGTTTAGTCTAGCAGTGAGTTTAGTCTAGCAGTGTGAGTTTAGTCTAGCAATGTGAGTTTAGTCTAGCAGTATGAGTTTAGTATAGCAGTGTGGGTTTAGTATAGCAGTGTGAGTTTAGTATAGCAGTGTGGTTTAGTCTAGCAGTATATGAGTTTAGTCTAGCAGTGAGTTTAGTCTAGCAGTGTGAGTTTAGTCTAGCAGTATGAGTTTAGTATAGCAGTGTGAGTTTAGTCTAGCAGTGTGAGTTTAGTCTAGCAATGTGAGTTTAGTCTAGCAGTATGAGTTTAGTATAGCAGTGTGAGTTTAGTATAGCAGTGTGAGTTTAGTATAGCAGTGTGAGTTTAGTCTAGCAGTATGAGTTTAGTATAGCAGTGTGAGTTTAGTATAGCAGTGTGAGTTTAGTCTAGCAGTATGAGTTTAAGTGATATAGCAATTAATGAGTTTAGTATAGCAGTGTGAGTTTAGCAGTATATGTAGTATGAGTTTAGTATAGCAGTGTGAGTTTAGTCTAGCAGTGTGAGTTTAGTCTAGCAGTGTGAGTTTAGTCTAGCAGTGAGTTTAGTCTAGCAGTGTGAGTTTAGTCTAGCAGTGTGAGTTAAGTATAGTGTAGTGGAATTCTCCCCTACAAACGCTGTTTGTCG